GACAGACCATTGGATCTTTAGAATCTCTCTCAGTTTGGAAAGGATTAATCCTCTGTCAATCCAGTTTCAGTTGGTTTCAATATGTCCCAGTTTGTGTCTCATCCCCAACTTTCCCCTTTTGTCCTCAAATTATGTCAATTTCTTCAAATTGAACACAAAGGAATGTACACTCATGGAGAGAAAGGAGAGGAAAGTGGTTCCCAATCTTTTTTTGACCAGGGACCAATTTGGCCATGGACCACTTGGCCAGGGACCACTTTGACCAGGGACCACTTTGAGCACAGACCATTCTCCAATATTAGTACCAAAAAGGTTACAAATCAGTTTTCGGTCAACTTTAGATTTGGTTTGGGGTGCTGATTCAGAAAATTGCATTGGATAGACCACATCAGCTCTAGTTTCTGATACAGAACATATGCCCTGGTCCGTGACAGGGAAGAAGTAGCAGGTGGCATGAAAGGAGTGGAAATAAAATAAGTAAAATAAAATAAATAAATAAAGATGAAGGAGGCCCGAGAACCAGATTTTTGTCCTTGCAGCCCACTGGTGGTCCGTGGCCCACAGGTTAAGAACTGCTGCTGTAGACTCGGGTAAAAACAAACTGCATCAGCTTCTCCTTGCCTGTGTGTTGTTTCTCATTAATAAATTTTTATATCTTGACCATACTCTGATGTTGCTTGGCTATTTCTGACCAAGTTTACATCTAAAAATGTCAAATGGTATATAACCCCCCTCCCCATACGATATTTTTAGAAAGCCAAGTCTACATGGTTCTCACACAGGTGGTTTTGAAAGTCACCATATGGAGGTGGCATAAGAAAAGGAATCCTTACCCCTCTTCTCTATGTAAAGTGATTTACTTGAGTTTCAGATTTGGCCTTGTTTATATAGGTATTGAAAAGGTTATGGTTTTGTTTAATATTCCTAGGAACATAGCAAGGCATATGAGCCAAGCTTCATAAGGTGCTCTGGAGTCTGAAATGTGTGCTTATGCATTTAGATGGCAGGAGTTTTGAAATGAACTCACAGATGGGGGTATAAATCTAATATGCCTGTAGCTGCTTTTTAAAACTCTCTTCATAAAATATGTGCAATAATTCTAGCAAATCTTGTCACAACTATTTTCATAAAGAAGTATATGTGATTTTGAATGCATGAAAATTTCTTTTTAGATATTCAGCTTTCTTCCTATCTGGAAAATGGGACAGGACAAAATATGTCTGCTTTATATTCATTATAATCATCAGTGATATTTTCTTATCCCTTTAGATACTCCTTTCGACAAAATTATCATTTTGTGGTATAGCCCCGAGATCTAAGCAAACACATTATAATGCATATTAACATCCCAATGAAGTCAGTAGAGCCAATGTGCCTATAGTCTGGGTTATAGTTCATATTAGTAAGTGCTTAAAGGGGATGGTTTAATTAGTAATAATGGCTGGCATTCTGTGTTGCAGTTATATGTTCATAAATTAAGAATGCAAGTTGCTCCTTATTCATTATTATAATATTTTGCCATGATCATAAATACCCCAAACCTATTTTACCAAGTGTAAGCTGCACCAAAAGATACAGTTAGCAATCGCGATACAAGAAGGTTATGTTTACCATCCTGGCAGCAAATGAGACTGCAACAATCAGAATCAGGACCCCATCTCAAATCCTTGCTCATGTAAGGGGACCGGAAATGTCATCCTCCTATATCCCAATAATTAGTTGAACAGACCTTCATGTGATGGCGCGAGTGGTGCCACCTATGTATAGAACTGTTAGTTGTAAGATTTAAACTGTTGTATCATGCTTAATCCTGCCCCTTTTTACACTGCTTATGTATAGTTGTATGGATTGGTTGCTTGTAGCTGTCAATCAGTACTGTTTGGCTCCACCTCTTCCTGCAAGAGGGGAGAACTTCCTTTTTCTTTTCATTCTGCCATCAGAGTTTGTACCAGATGGACATGAGTAAGAGACCTGACTCTAAAGGACCCTGATTTAAGTTACCTCTTAGCATCAGTTCTGTACCAGATGGACGTGAGTAAGAGACCTGATTCAAAAGGACCCTGATTTAAGTTACCTCTTAGCACCAGTTCTGAGGTTTTTTACCCCTGGGACTCATGCTTTATGTCCAGATCGTCCTGGACAATTATTGAGGAGACCCAGGCGCCTTCAAGCCGGTTCTTTTGGCACCAAAGGAAGATCCTGAATCTTCAAAACATAGGCCACCTGAACTGGGGTTGTGGTTTGCTCCGGCATTCACAGCCATTGAGGAAAGAGGAAACTTGGTGAGGCTTCTCAGCTTTAAACCCCTTGGACCCAGGACTAATTGAGACTGTAACGTATGTTTTCCTTCACCCCTCTAAAGTTTTCCAGCTCATTGCTTTGAAGAAATGACTTTGTGATAAATAAAACTTATCTTGAGCTATTTACAGCGTTTTGGGTTTTTGGGAGTTCCAGTTTCCTATAGGAGGGCAAGAAGCAATCCCTTGGGGGAAAGGTGCCACGTCCATCCCTCCTTCATTAAGACTAATAGCCCCCAAGTGCGACGGCACACTTCATCTCTTGGTGTACTTGCTCTTTAGTAAAGTATTTATTTGTATTTATTTACTTACTTCATTTGTTTACCCCAAAGGGGACTCAAGGCGCCTTTACATATGGCAACTATTCAATGCCTTTGAACAACAAACAGTTAAAATACATTAAGTTAAAGATTTAAAATTAAAATTAAATGCACATTAAAAACATATAAAACATTACAATCACTATTAAAAATCACGCCATCCACAATCATAATCCGGGGCTGTTCCAAAAAGTCATTGCATATTTTGTAGTTATTATTTCACTGCATTTAATCTCCAAAGGCTTGACCCCAGAACCAGGTTTTCACTTTCCTTCTGAAGGGCAGGAGGGAGGGAGCTGCTCTAATATCACTGGGGAGGGGGTTCTACAGCCATGGGACCACCACTGAGAAGGTCCTGTCTCTCATCCCCACCATTGTGCCTGTAAAGGAGGCGGGACTGAGAACAGGGCCTCCCCAGACTATCTTAATCTCTGAGGTGGTTCAGAGGAGATACGTCCAGACAGGTAAACTGGGCCAGAACCATTTAGGGCTTTATAGGCTAAAGCCAACACTTTGAATTGTGTTCGGTAGTAGACTGGCAGCCAGTGGAGCTGATGTAATTGTGCTCAGTAGCAGAGTGGCAGCCAGTGGAGCTGACATAACAAGGGGGTCGTATGCTCCCTGTACACTGCTCCAGTGATCAACTTGGTTGCAGTCCATTGGACCATTTGAAGCTTCTGAACAGTCTTCAAAGGCAACCCCACGCAGATTACATTGCAGTAATCTATTTGGGATGTGATCAGAGCATGGACCACCATGGCGAAGTCTGACTACCCAAGGTCCAGCGCAGCTGTCGCACATGTTTTAATTGTACAAATGCTCTCCTGGCTACCGCCGAAACCTAAGGTTTTGGCTCAGTGTTGAGTCCAGGAGAACTGCCAAGCTGTGAACCTGAGTCTTCAGGGGGAGTGTAATCCTGTCCAACATAGGCTGTAAACCTATACCCTGTTTGGTCTTGTGACAAACCACGAGTACCTCTGTCTTGTCTGGATTCAATTTCAATTTGTTCACTCCCACCCAGACCATCACAGCTGCCAAACACCGATTCAGGACCTGAACAGCCTCCTTAGTAGCAGGTAGAAAGGAGTGATAGAGTTGAACGTCATCTGCGTACAGATGACATCGAACTGCAAAACTCCAGTAGTAGTAGATTTGCGGGATGTGCTCGGAGACATTCTTTAGTTATGCATACTAAGTAGAGGGTGTAGAATATCGGTTAGTTCGACCTATATCAATCCCAAGAAGGACAGAGTTCCAGGATCTCCTGTCATCAGCAGTTCTTGCAGACTTAAGGTGGTGGCTTTCTTTATTGAATCAATCCACCTGTAGTTGGTCTTCCTCTTTTCCGTCTGTCTTCCACTTTACTGATTTACTGATTATTATTGTTTGAGATCATGCATTGAGAGACATAGATTAGATACAAAAAAAAGATGATTTTTGTTATATTTCCTGATATTTTCAGTTCTCCCTTGGCAGCAAGATACCAGGCAGATATGATAGAAGTCTCCACTGCTAACTGTCACAAAGGACCTTATCACAATGGCTAGCACCCCACTTTGCCAACTTGCTTGTTGTAGGAAATTTAGAAAAAAAATCAAACTTCTGCAGCTTCTTCTAATGTATGTTGTCTTCCTTAGTAATATTACTTGGGCACATGTGTCCTATTTTCTTTTTGTGAAATTTTGGAGGGTATGGATATACTTGAATGAACTGTAACCTGCTTTAAATATACACATATCTCATAGAAAATAACTGTAGTTGTTCCATCAGCTCCAAATCTATTGCGTACCATGTGATTTTTCAATAGAAGAGATTCAACCAGATGACTTGATTCCAGAACATGAATGCAATTAAATCTAATGCAAGCTGTTCCTGTTATGTAGCTTTGTTTGGGAAATAACATCCCCCTGGTGAACAATTTTATAGCCTGAAACAGGTTGTAGCATTTAACATTAGTTTAGTTCAATAAATTTTAATTCTGCATTATTACTTTTCTTGAACCTAATTCTGCCATCCCCAAATATATGGATGACTAAATCGTTGAGGAATAGCCCTCATATTTACAATACTGCTTTTTCTATCCAGATTTTGGTTTTATACCGGCGTAAATTGGGACTCATTGAAAGTAGATGCTAAATGGTGTGAAAAACTAGTCGCATTTTACTGAGAAGTAAATGGTATTTGCTGTTCAGGAAGTAATTTCCTCATTGCTTATTCAAAAGACATTTGCTTTAATAACCTCCTCTTTCAGAGAACTCACACATTGACCCTCATTAGAAACTTGTGTTGTTTTAATTCATTCACAAGCAACTACATTTAGTATAATTTAAAGCTCCGTAGCTACTGGTCACATCCATGTGCCATCTGTGTTCTTCATTCCTAGGTATTCCCTGAGGGACCAGACACAGGCAGAAAATTACTTGGAGTTGTAAGTAATAAATAAATGGCAAAGACATTTCTCCAATTCAGCTGTGAGGAGGGAGCATGCCGCGAGGCAGGAAGGCAGCAAGCATGGCTGCGTCACAGAGAACACAACATCAGGACATTGAAAATGCCATATTGCCCCACATATTAGAAATTATAAGCAGCCCATTGATCAAACCCATTCTATAATCCATTTTACACCATTATTATAATGTATGACTATTAGAGATGAGGAAAATATTTGCATTAAGCTTGCAGACAAGAAATTCATTATACTTATGTATGAGTCTAGAAATTATACTCAAAAATGGACTTATTTACAGTGTGCAAACTGTACCTTAACTCAATGTGAAGACTGCACCTTATCTGTTTTTAAAAGGAACTATCCCCTTCTCTTTAGTAAAGGCAAGGTCTTAGTCCATCCAGGGAGAACCTAAAGAAACACTCGTCACTCTGTACTCTCTCTGCCATTAGTTAAAAATGATTTGAAGACTACAACAACAAGAGAGCAAGTTTTCTGGGGAGAAAACTTGATTTTCTGCGCAGAAAATGAAATTTCTGCATAGAAAATACAAGAGGCTTTGTTTACGTGGATTTTTCACATTCTTGATCCTGAATTACAAATACTGCATATTTTTGAGAGTTTTCTCACAACAGGAAGAAAAATAGTTAAGTGATTCATTCCTGCCCACTAGAATGAAATTTATGAAGATTTACATCCCTAGTAACCACTCCCCTGCCTCCCTTCGTAGCTTACTCTCTCTCTCCACTAAATTGCTTAGATATCTATGTAGGTTAGCTTAGCAGGCATCTTTCTTCCTGTTCTTATAACCTTTTATCAAGGCCACTGGAAGTTAGGATGGCTTAACCTGTACATATTTGCAGATGCTCTTGGGTCATGGCAGCCTCTCTACTGGTAAGAATAAATTTTCCTTGGGAAAAAGAATATTTCCTTCTCCAGGCTCTTAGGGTCACAAGGAGGAAATAAAATCTTCTCATCCGAAACTGTGGGGTACAATGTAAATTCTAGAAAGCAAACCTAGCTTAAGAATATAACTTCTGCATATTGGGATACCTCTTTGCTTGGGGCCTAAAAAGACCAAATCTGGGCGAACTGCTATTGCCGTTTAGCCTTTTATAGCACTGTATTTAATTCCCGGTCCCCTCATATTTTGAGTTTGCACTAGCCTTGGCCCGGCCTTTTAATTGCTCAGAACAGGCAGGATTATTTTTAATGTATATGTGTAATTGTGATAATTTTATGCTTATGTTGTTTTGTTAATTTTGCTTTGAAACCACCCTGAGTCCCCCTTGGGGAGATAGAGCGATATATAAATAAAGTATTATTATTATTATTATTATTATTATTATTATTATTATTATTATTATTTATAATGGGTTCAGAAGCATTAAAAAGTCCTGTTCATTTTCATATTACCTCAGCCTACCTTTGACGAAAGGATTTTTCTAAAAAAAAATTCCGTTCCTGCTTTATCTAGCAATGGTTTGTTGGTTTCTGAAACTTATTGTAATTGATCTCTATGGTAGATGGGGCAGGTGAAAATGTGTGCTATGTCTTTGTCATCAGGCATTAAGATATGATGAGGAACCAAACACTGAAATATAGCCTATAGCACCTGGTATTCATTGACAGTCGCTCATTGAGATACCAACAATGGCTGGACCTGCTTAGCTTCAAAGATCAGATGGAATCTGGTGTTCTTAATGTATTCTGGCTGCTATTTCAATAGGGTTAGTAAAGAGCAAGCTGTTGTTGACTTTTTTAAAGCTTGTGTGGTCTTCAGCATTAATATTTTTTGCTAACTTAACTGCACTCTACATTTAGTGTCCCAGGTTTCATTTCTGAAATGTTGGAGGATATGTGTGATCGCACAATTGGAATGCCCTGACCTTAAGATTGCAAATTGCCCAGATAAATAAACAGTCCCAGGCAGCTGTTAGGAATTAGCAGCTTCATTTTTGTAATAGCCTGCATGTTAAAGGCACAGCTAAAAGGCTGGTTCAAAAGCTGAACAATCTCCCTTGTAGTATAATTCATTAGAGATCCACTGAGCAAAGCTACGTGGAAATAGCCAAGTTCAAGGGATTAATAGACCCCAAGAGGCCTGAAACACTATGAAGCTGTAATCAGCCACTTAACTTCTTTCTGGAAACCGTTGTAGCATCATTGAAAGTGTGCATTATTGTCTGGCTAATCTATTTCTGTCACGAAGCTGTAATAGAAGAAACTCCATTGTGGGCTGAAAATGTAATACACTAGAATGACTAGATAGGTAGACGGAAAGATAGACAAATAATAAAAACTTCCTTTGATCTTTGCCATGGTTTCTACTAAGGTGAACCAGAAAATTATTTGATCACTGAAGCATTTCGGCTGGCCAGAATATTAAGGTAACAGCAGTATTTAACTCTGAAGGAATTAAAGTAGCAGCTACATAATCCGTTTACCTTTCTCTACACATTAGTCCAGTGTTTCTCAACCTTCTTAATGCTGCAACACCTTAATACAGTTCCTCATGTTGTGGTGACCCCACAACCATAACATTATTTTTGTTGCGACTTTATAATTGTTTATTTTGCTCCTGTTATGAATTGTAATCTAAATATCTGATATGCAAGATGTATTGTCATTGACTGGACCAAATCTGGCACAAATGCCCAATATGTCCAAATTTGATTACTGGTGGGGTTGGGGGGATTGATTTTGTCATTTGGGAGTTGTAGTTGCTGGGATTTATAGTTAACCTACAATCAAATAACATTCTGTACTTCACAAATGATGGAATTGAACCAAACTTGGCACACAGAACTCCCATGACCAACAGAAAATAGTGGAAGGGTTTGGTGGGCATTGACCTTGAGTTTTGGAGTTGTAGCTCACTTACATCCAGAGAGCACTGTGGACTCAAACAGTGATAGATCTGGACCAAACTTGGCATGAATACTCAGTGTGCCCAAATGTGAACACTGGTGGAGTTTGGGGAAAATAGACCTTGACATTTAGGGGTTGTAGTTGCTGGGATTTATAGCTCACCTAGCATTCTGAATCCTACCAACGATAGAATTGGTCCAAACTTCCCACACAGAACCTCCATGCCTTGAGGGAACTCGCTGGCACGACCCTCCATCCATCCTCACACGCTCTCCCTTACCCGCACGTGTGCAACCCACTGCCATCCGCCAAGCATGCCCGCTCCCCCCCTCACTTGGAGTCTCAAAAACAGCCCTCTCCTTGGCTGAAAGGCCTGCCAATCATAGTGGAGGAGGGCCTTTGGTGAGAGGATTCGTCCTTCTTTTCCAAAAAGGAAGAGGACAGGTGGAGAGAGCTTCAGCCTTCTCTGCCAAAGGGGTTCCTAAGACCATGTTTTCTGATGGTATTTGGTGACCCCTCTGAAATCCCCTCGTGATCCCCCCCAGGGGTCCTGATCCCCAGCTTGAGAAACACTGTTTTAGTCCAACATGGCATAAGTTTTGGCATTAGATGGAATCAGGAGGTCCACAGTAACCACAGTATTCAATTCTGGTGGCAGAGATACTGCATAAGATGCATTACCATGATGTAATGTCCATGTTCCACTTTCCATCTCCTCATCTGATCCTGAAAACCCATCTTAAATCCAACAAAGAATGGAGTTCCATGGATCTAGCAGCCTTGCTTCAGAAGATATGAGGAACAGTAGGAAGGTCATAGTAGGTGAGGTCTGGATGCATCATCTTTCATCATCTTGCTTGCCAATGCCACATTAATTCTACATCAGTGCAACTGGCAGAATTTTAAGATGGAATTTAATAACATTTACAATTGTTGCAACTAACCCAGGAAACACTACATAATATTATATGTCCCATTTACAACATCAAAACAGGATAATAGCCTCATGTTTGCTATCTCCATACAATCATCTCTCTGCATGCACAGATTCAACCACTCATGGCTTGGAATTTATTTTTAATTCCCAAAAGAAAACATTGATTTTGCAATCTTTTTATAACTGATACCATTTTTCTGCATCATTGTGTATAATGAGACTTTGAGCATCCATAGATTTTGGTATACACAGGGGGTCCTGAAATCAAACTCCAATGAATATCAAGGTAAATTAATATCTAAATAATAATGATCCCTGCTGCCAGTCCAATACACTGTTCCTTAAATGAATGATACATATACATGTCCACAATTAAATATAATCATGGAATAAAAACAGTTAGATTTTATTTTCAATATGAAAAATTGAAGTTAAAGACTTTAACTCCCTTCCGGGTGAGATCAGATCGGCCCCCTCCCTCCTGTCCTTCAGAAGGATGGTAAAAACTTGACTGTGGGACAAAGTTTTTGGGACAGTGCAATAAAGCAACGATAGGAAACCTTACCAGGCCAATTAGATTTGATGCAGATGATTGATACAGTTTTAAACAGTGTGTTTTAATGCTGAGATATTTTTCAAAATGTTTATGTATGCATATAATGAATTCTTGTCTCAGCATTGAATTTTTGCCGTATATATCCTCTGTTCGACCCTGAGTCTCCTTCAGAGTGAGAAGGGTGGAATATAAATGTTTTAAATAAATAAAGAAATAAATATAACACAAAAGTGATATGCTCTTATTTTGGTGACCAGGTTTAGAGTTAGCTTTTCCATTTAAAAGTGTCTGTTTCCCCTTCACCACTGAATAATGGGAAATTCAAATGGACCAGCTTGCGGAACAGTCTTTTCAACCTGTTGGTGTATTTAGTAGAAGTGTGCACTTTTTGTTAGTCCTCGTAATTTGTATCAAATGTGTTAAATTCGTACTTACAAGGTGATATCCGATACATGGACATGGCCTACACCAAAAATTTAAGAATTGAAATTTACCCCATATGTTTTCATTTTATTTTTGTAAATCTTGGAGGGCTCCTAAAGTCAGCTTCATATTCAGTGCAAGGAAGCAAAGCAAAGCCAAAAAAGCTGACTTAGTGCCTTGCCTTTCCTCTGTAAA